TACAAATAATGCAATCACACCCCTCTACTATGCAGGATGCAATGGCCAGAGCTCTTGAATTCGAATCCTACATTAAGTCCAGCACAGAGGTACCAAGGTTGGTACAGTCATCAGGATTCAAGGACAGAAAAGGGCAGCTTTCAGAGAAGTTTGAGGGACTTTGCTGACACTGTAATAAACCTGGGCACAAGAAAGCTGAATGCTGGCAACTTCAACACAGGGAAGATGGCACGGCAGGAAAGGCTGCTACCCAGAAAGGTTGTTGGAACTGTGGAGAGCAAGGACATATGAGAAGCCAGTGTAAGAAGAATAATAAGTCAGATTCGGGAACCAGTAGTGGTTGGTGCTGAGAAACGCCCACCAACCCCATTGTGAAATTCCCAATAGCTAAGTGTAAAATGAAAAGCACACATAGTGTCTACGTGACAAGAAAGGATGGCCAAAAGTGCAACTTTGTCATAGATTCTGCATCCCAGCAAACTCTTGTGAGTATCAGGGTGATAGATCACAAAGGAGTATCAGAAGCCATACAGAAGCTTTGTGGTGTGATAGGACATTATGCAAGGTTGTGGAAACCAGTGTGGGTAACTATTGAGCTCATGGGCATGAAGGACAGACACAAAGTATACTTGGCTGACATTGAAGACCAATGCATATTAGGGTTGGACTACTTACTACCGAGGAAGTGTGTAATTAACTTCGATAAAATGACGTTTAGGAACAACAAAGGCTAGATTTCGGTATTGTTGCCGCATCTGTTGATTTGCATGTCACAGCACTTAAATCAACTACAATACCCTCTATGTCAGAGATAATAATTTGGGGTAGAATAAAAGAACATCCCCAAGGAAGCCCGATGCTTGTGGAAGCAGTGGAAGATCCATCCAGGCCAGCGGATGTGAAGATTGGAAGGTCACTTGTGGCAGGTCATCAAGTACTACCCATAGCAGTAGCTAATTTCTCTAAATGTTAGCAGACACTTAAGGAAGGGGCATTGTTGGGTGTGTTTCAGGAGGTAGAGCCAGTCAGTGTTAAGGCAAGAAATACAA